CTGTGTTAGTACCTGTGTTACAGGTGAGTTAATTACGTACCTGTGACGGGTGAGTTAATTACGTACCTGTGACAGGTCAGCTAATTACGTACCTGTGACAGGTCAGCTAATTACGTACCTGTGTTACAGGTGAGTTAATTACGTACCTGTGTTAGTACCTGTGTTACAGGTGAGTTAATTACGTACCTGTGACGGGTGAGTTAATTACGTACCTGTGACAGGTCAGCTAATTACGTACCTGTGTCAGTACCTGTGTTACAGGTGAGCTAATTACGAACCTGTGATGGGTCAGCTAATTACGTACCTGTGACGGGTCAGCTAATTACGTACCTGTGACAGGTGAGTTAATTACGTACCTGTGACAGGTGAGTTAATTACGTACCTGTGTCAGTACCTGTGTTACAGGTGAGCTAATTACGTACCTGTGACGGGTCAGCTAATTACATACCTGTGACAGGTCATCTAATTACGTACCTGTGACAGGTCAGCTAATTACGTACCTGTGACAGGTCAGCTAATTACGTACCTGTGACAGGTCAGCTAATTACGTACCTGTGACAGGTCAGCTAATTACGTACCTGTGACAGGTGAGCTAATTACGTACCTGTGACAGGTCAGCTANGATGGAGCGAGCGGTGAGCGTACAGAGCCGCCTCAAGTCATTCCTCACCATAGCTGATGCTTACATCCAGGTAGCTGTACGCACGCACGCACGCACGCACGCACGCACGCACGCACGCACGCACGCACCATAAAAAGTGAAACAGAATCATTTAGATTTTAATGTAAAAAGTGGACATAATTTCTCTACGTTTACTAATTACGGTGACGTCATTATGTTCAGGGGAAGGTGGAGGGCGGGCGGATCGACGAGGCGGAACTGATGCGCCACCTGATGGACGTACGCGGCCGGGTGCACGTCGCGATTGCAGATGACTTTGACACGCCGCGTGCGATGGACGCCATCATGGAGCTGGTAGCCGTCTGCAACCGTCTGCTGAAACACGAGCCGGGGGTCAAGGTGAGACGCGAGACGCGAGCCGGGGGTCAAGGTGAGACGCGAGACATGAGTCGGGGGTCAAGGTGAGACGCGAGACGTGAGACACGAGCCGGGGGTCAAGGTGAGACGCGAGACGCGAGCCGGGGGTCAAGGTGAGACGCGAGACGTGAGACACGAGCCGGGGGTCAAGGTGAGACGCGAGACGCGAGCCGGGAGTCAGAGACGCGAG